TCCCAGGTAACTTAGGCACGTAGGCTTAAGGACACAAATCAACCAATAGTGGTTAATCAAAAACAAAAGGAAAACACTCTTACTATCAAAACAAGACCACTGTTGCAAGCATAGTAAATGACTGGATGTTAAAAGCCATGTAGTGAAATAGAACTCGGGGGAAATCCCTGGGTTGTAATCCTTAGTTACAAGAGAGAAAAACAGTTAACCAGTTCAGACATGATTTCCGAACAAGGAAAACAATATAACCTCACAGACTACCTAAACTTTTCCCTACTTATACATTTCAAGGAGTCCATTCCTGGGTGAGTCCATCTCCCGTGTTACCTAGAGAAAAAACTGCTCTGATCTCATTATTTGCATTTTATTGGCTAAATGCCTGAAGGTCCCTCCCTCAGGTGCATTTCCCTTTCCTCACTCTCCAGGTAAGTCAGACTCTCCTTAGCAACTCCTGTTTATGACAGGCCTCAAAGATGATTGAATAAACAGTTGCTTTTCTAGTCCTATACTGCAGAGGTGGGGAACTTTTTTGGCGGGTTGGTGGCTGCTGAACTACAGAAAAATCAGTTGGGGGCCCACACAAGTGAGAAGCAGAAAACAAACACAAACCTCACTGATGTGGCCCCTGACGGAGGACACTCCCCACATTCCCCTTGCACACCAGAGCCTAGTGAGGCTAGTAGATTGTGTTCCAGCCTCACGGGGGAGGGCTGAGCTGTAGTGCCAGCATGGGGGAAGCCCTGAGCCTTGGGCCAGATCAAGGCTTTAGGTTCCCTGCCCCTTCCGTACAGGGTAGAGATGTAAGAGTGTAGCCTAACTGCTACTCAGCTACAGGCAGCTCCTGGTCCGGCTCTCAGGGAGCCACCTGCTGCCCTGCACTATTGCCTCTGGATCAGTCAGTAGCCCAGGGTGGAAGGCAGGAGCTGGTACACGTGGGGACTCCTGTGGGCCTGCCTGTGGCAGGTGGGAGTTGGTGTGCTCCAGGGAGCCGGTTTTTAAGCAGTACGCACTGGTATGTGCAGGCACCCGATCTCCCAGGGAGCTGGCTGCCATGTTGCATGTAACCACTGAAAATTTCAGCAGTTAACACGATTTATCAGTTACACACATTTAACATCTCTAGTACAGAGGCCATTTGAAGCCCCTATCTGAGCAAGGACTTCAGGCAGTGCACTGTTTTGTCCAGTGTTTAAGCCAGAATCTGAGGCCCTAGCCTATGTTTGATTTTTTTTTTTTCCCCACACACCAATCAGTAAAGCATAGTACAGAATGCTATGCATTTATTCTGTGCAGCACATGGAAGATTAACATGCGCTGGAGCTTCAAACCAAAGCCTGAAGCATAACCTGACAGGCCTGCAAAAAGTATTCAGATCAGTCTGTGTGCTCAGCTCTTCTGACACAGGATCCAAGATGCACACTCAGGAGGCCTAAGGCTAGAACAATCTTTTATTATGGACTGAAGATATATTTTTTAACTCAATAGACAGCCAAATCCATCGCTGGTGTTGCCTTAGATTTATAGTACGGTGTCTGCCAGAAAATATATATGCACCAACTGCTAAGGTCTCCAAGCCTTGTCATTGACACAAGAGGCAGCAACAACAAATAGAAGGGAAGCCACATCTTTCTCCTTATATTCCAATTCATGCGGGCCTTGAAAACTTGTTGCCTGTTCTCCATGCTACTCAGGAACTGGAGTGACTAATTTGGTGCCTCTCTGCCTGAGTTTGGTTGCCTTGCTAGTGGACCTGTCACCCCATTACTTGCTTTTTGCTGCTTTAACTCTGCCTGTATCGATTTCTCTGGTCTTAATCCAGAACTATTTTGTCATTTCTAATCAAGGGAAGAGCATGGGGATTTTAAGAACCACATAGAATTCCTCCAGAACTACAGCATGGAAGAGACTATTTCACTATGGCTCCAAATGCAACAATTGAAGAATTCCCCCAGAATTAATGTTCATTTTAAAGAAAGATATAATGGGGAAACTCTGAAACTGTATGGAACTATTTTAGTCTGCAATATACTATGTTGAGGAGTCTTATTCCAAAGGGATAGTTTGATCTCAAATCAGTCTAAATGCCCAAGTTCACACCATTCAGATAGTAGATGATTACCACTATGAGTGCGATCCATTCAGCCAGTATTTGATGGAGATATCTCTCATTAATTTTCTGTCTGTCCATTTTTCCAACAAGTGCCATTTTCTCTTGCATGTTCTCTCTCCTGTCTAATTATTTTGATTCTACTTCTCACTTGTCTCTGCCCTTCCTCCACTTCAGCTGCTGCTGCTGTCAGGCTGCTATAAATAGTTGGCATAGATATGCAGGCACAACATGTAAAACAGCAAGTGTCTTTAGTGCAGATCTGTGCCTCCAGGAAGCAATGGAGGCAGAATAGATCTAGGAAGGGCCTTCTATCTTAATCCTTTTGGTGGGGGGGAGGGGAGGGGAAGGAGAAGAGGAGGGCGGGAGGAGCAGGGAATGTTCCACTAAACTCATTCCGTATCTGACAGTTTTCGCAGCCTGTGATACTACTTGCCCAAACCTAACCATTGGAATCCATGTCCTAAAGCCAAAAGTTCTGCATCTCATTTCTGTGTGTGCGCACAATCTTGTCCAACAAGAACAATACAAGCAAATCTCTGTAACAAGACATATTAGAGGCTTAAATTATAAACCTTAGTATCATAAAATAAAATAGTGGGATAGACATGTAACCGGGGGTGCCATATGGAGTAAAAAGAGAATATTACCTATTTAAAGCTTTGTTAGATAATAATTAAAGTAGACTATAACTTGTTTCCAAGTATTTGAAGAGTAACAATACTAAATGGGAAAAGAGACATTCTTGGTTTGTCAGCATGGTGGACAAGGTGTCCCTAGTAAGATTTTTTTTTTTTGTAATGTCCTTGGAATTTGTTTGAATTAATTGATTTGTTGAATACTGGATTAGTCTAGCTTAGAAATGCTTGGTTTATGTATCCTTGACAGAATAAACTTGAATTGTATTGATTTGTGTTGGAATAGATTTAAATGTGGACTTCATGGGTTGGATTGTAGACCTCATTATAGATTGCACTATTAGACTCACTTGAAAGAATTTTTAGGTTGAGAGGCCAGTCCTGCAAGCCCTCCCTAGTATATATTGGCTTTACTTCATCAAGTGGCAAAAGGTAGAGTGGGTTTGGAATTGTTTTGACTGGGTAGGATTGGATAATATTGGTGTGTCTTGTGACAGTTTGTCATGGTGGATATTCTCTTATAGGTGACTTGAGAGAGCCAGAAAGCGGCCTTCAATTAAGAGAGATTCCGCCTGGAAATATAACTCTCAGAAGGGTTCTTAGAAGAAGCATCATTCCACCAGTAGCTTTCTTCCCATAGTGCATCTCTTCTTGCAATAAATACAAGAGCCTCATGTGCCCTGTATTGGGACACTCACAAGTATGTATCAAAGTTTTGACTAGGGATATGAAAGGTTAACTGGTAAGCATTATTCTAAATGGGTAATGCTTACTTGTTCCAGGTAACCACTAACACGTGGGGGCTCGAGCAGTTCCCAGCCTACCATGGACAGGGGGCTGCTCAAGCCCTTCAGGGCCCACATAGGCAGGGGGTAGGAGCCAGTGGTAGGCATAGCCCCAGCTCAGGGCTGATAACTGGCAGGCAACTGTGCTGGAGCAGCCCCCTGCCTGGAACCTGCTTAATTGGTTAAC